ATCAGTTCCAAACACTTCTGGAGATCTAAGATTGCCATCATCCCTTTCATAGGCAGATACAGCTTCTTCACCGGTGGGAAGCATGTCTATAGATGGAAGGATAAATGTCTTCTTATTTTCCTCCATTCTTTTATCTGGAACTCCCTTCCCTGTTAGAATAGAAACACTGATGTTCAAGAAGAAAGATGTCTCTTGACAATAAAAACAATAATCATTAACCCTTTAAGTCCCAATAGTGACCAACAGCAATTTTCTCCTAACAATGTCCATACATTTTCAAGAGATGAGGTTGTAAGAATATAAAAAATGATCACGAAAGAGAACATGCCTTGATGTTTTATTAAATTCTCTCAACTTATTCTTAAAGGTAATGTATGGAGATCAGTTTGGAGGATTTGTATGTGGATACTGGGGTTTAAAGGGTTAAGATATTCAGTTTTTTACAATTTTTGTTATTGGTTTTTACACTCCCACACTCAGAAAGTTAATTATCCTAACATATGACTAGCGAGTAATTTAATTTACCTGAGAATGTGGTGTTTTTTAAGAGACCCCTTCTTAATTCTCGTTACCCGTCATATTTAACTTGGCAGTTATTAAAACTCCTGGTACAGTTAAAAACTTGGGATTAATATCGATTTTCCATAGGCTGAGTTTACTGAACCACCACCACCTCAATAAACTCTTACCAGGCATAACATGGTTGTTCCAACTGGAAAAAACTTGTTTGATTCAAATGTCTGCTACCCTGTAGGTAAACCATGATATACAGAACTTGTTCATGTCATCATCCATATTTATTAGGTCTTCATTCACCATAGCATTTAGAGCTCGTTTAATAGGGTATTTGACACGGGGTTTAAACTCTACCCATTTTCTCTCAGCAGGATGATTCTTTTAAATGAGAAAAATCATAATAAATGATAATAATAAATTTAATGATTAATGGTTATAATAATAATAATAATAATAATAATAATAATAATGGTGACATATTCACTAAACAAACACCTGCTTCGAAGTTGTTTGTATAAAGGGTGCCCTTCTTGTATTGGTCCTATATGGAGACATTTTTTTCTTGTACATACAAAGAGAGATAGAACTCTGTTCCATGGTCTACTCTGAGTTGATCCCAAATGTCATGCTGAATGACCGCAGTTCTTCAAAGAGAGAGGCAAATATAATATGTAATATTTAAGCATAAATAGCACATACAAAGGTGAGTAAATAAACGTAAATCAAATTTTAATATGATCTATGCTTGTTTTCGTGATATATTCATCACTGTCATCTGGCTGCTTCTCTTTTTTACTATTTATACTCTTGCTGGTACTTCTTATCTGGAAGTGCTTGTTGTTAAGTTGGCAACACTGATGCAATAATTATACTATTATTATCACCTATAGTAATAATAGCAATAATTAAAGAACTCTTGAATACTGCACCTGTAAACATTCTTACAGATCAAAACATTGTTCTTCACTGGCATTGTCACAAAAGCCACAATCTTTCCACTATAGCCATCACATGCACTGACTTCAGTCAATCCATACATTGCCAGTTTTTCAGTTTGGTCCATGTACAATTTGTGACCAAAATAGTCAGCATGGTAAGGATAGGGATTGGTTTGCCTGGCAGTGTTGGTATTTCTCTGGACTTGGTACAGAGGAGATACGATTGACAAAGCTTTTCCAATGTGCTTGTCACCAGCTGTTATACCACAACTGGCCTTATATCCTTTCACCATTTTTCTACCCCATGTGGGTCCAACCTTGAGTAAAACACATCAAGAACTTAATATGATATATTTCAACTGTCTTTGAGATGGACACCTTTAGGAGACATCTCCAAGTTGCCAATTTAAAAAGTGTCCATCCCACAGAAAGTTGATTAGTTAAGAGGGAGAAGCCTGTGTACAGACATCCCCCCTCCCTCAGAAAAAAATTGAATTTTTTTCAGATGGAGGGGGGACGTCCATACATAGGCTAAGAGGGAGTTCACAGGGAGCGTATACGTTTGGTGTCATCAATTTGCAACGTCATAGTTATTGCATTTTGGCTGAGACTTCCAGACTTTGCCTATAGAAAAGGTAAGGTTTTACTCCTACTATGATGGTGAAATTTAAGTGTATTAGACATATCTCAGTCTGCCAATGGTGATCAATATTGATTCGGAATAGAATGAGGATTTCATCTCCCCCCTTAGGGGTGCAGTCCCTTATTTGGCCTAGAAGGGTATGTGGCGCTGAACAGGGTGTGGTATCTGGGTCTCGAGTCTTAAACAGGTTATACAATTTAACTATTGAGCGCCTTGAACAGGGGGTCCTTATTGACCGGTAGCCTTGAAAAGATTGTGAAGGTTGGCGATGAACGGTTTACGTGTTGTACCAACAACGTTTCTNCCAGCTGTTATACCACAACTGGCCTTATATCCTTTCACCATTTTTCTACCCCATGTGGGTCCAACCTTGAGTAAAACACATCAAGAACTTAATATGATATATTTCAACTGTCTTTGAGATGGACACCTTTAGGAGACATCTCCAAGTTGCCAATTTAAAAAGTGTCCATCCCACAGAAAGTTGATTAGTTAAGAGGGAGAAGCCTGTGTACAGACATCCCCCCTCCCTCAGAAAAAAATTGAATTTTTTTCAGATGGAGGGGGGACGTCCATACATAGGCTAAGAGGGAGTTCACAGGGAGCGTATACGTTTGGTGTCATCAATTTGCAACGTCATAGTTATTGCATTTTGGCTGAGACTTCCAGACTTTGCCTATAGAAAAGGTAAGGTTTTACTCCTACTATGATGGTGAAATTTAAGTGTATTAGACATATCTCAGTCTGCCAATGGTGATCAATATTGATTCGGAATAGAATGAGGATTTCATCTCCCCCCTTAGGGGTGCAGTCCCTTATTTGGCCTAGAAGGGTATGTGGCGCTGAACAGGGTGTGGTATCTGGGTCTCGAGTCTTAAACAGGTTATACAATTTAACTATTGAGCGCCTTGAACAGGGGGTCCTTATTGACCGGTAGCCTTGAAAAGATTGTGAAGGTTGGCGATGAACGGTTTACGTGTTGTACCAACAACGTTTCTCCAAATAATATACATCGATGATGTTACTTTATAAAAAATGTCTTAATTCATTCGTTTTTTTCCTTGCAGAAAAAAAAATTTCAAGCAAAAATACCCACCCAAGCAACAACTTCTTTTGTGTAGTGTTCCAGCTCTTTGTTTGACAGCCGATTTTGCGCGTGTATCCCATTTTTAAGGCAAAACCTTCTAACGGACCGAGAACTTAAGCTTCTTTTTCCAGGATATGCTTCTTGTAGCAACAAAATGACTTGTGAATGTGTTTTTCCCTGCGTCACAACAAGATCTCTCACGAAAGCGACGTTTACGGCATTCATATTTATGCTGAAACAGCACTTCAAAGTTGTATTTCCCGCTTCTTACTTAAGGCTAGTTCCCAGGACGTATCCGACATTAAAGATGGTGGACAATAGCAAGGCTCTTCCCCATGTTCCACCCCACTTCTGTCCCATCTCCCTTCTACCCCTCCCCCACCCCCACTCCTCCTGGGCACTTCGGCACTTGGGTCCTCCCCTGTTGGTACTTTCGTCACTTTGAGCATGATCGATTGATCAATTCTTCGCCCAAAAACAAAAATTAAAAATTGATCGCAACATTCAATTTTTAGTTTTTTTCTTAATTCACGTCATTGTAGTTATCAGATGACTGCGGAAACGGTTTTCCCGCGAATAGCTAAAATATCCATGGTTCGATAACTGTTTTAATATTTATTGTAGCAAATAAGAGCTGTGTGTTTATTTTCTCATTTTTGTTTACAGGGGAAAATGGTAAAAAGAGTTATGAAACATGTTTATCCATTATACAGGAAGAAAAAACATGGAAAATCAAAAATTGACATCGATTTTCAATTTTTGCTTTTAAAGTGAAAATTAAATGGGCGAATTACCCACGGACCCTTCACTCCAAGGGTGTGGTGAAAATATGTTGACAGTTTCTACCCAACACTACAACTCCTGGTGTCATTAATTATACTCAATTTTGTTTCATTTATATCCACTCTTCTGTAAAGTATATTACTTTACTTCTACATCTTAAAACACAACCCTAAACAACAACAGCTACCCCTAGTTGTAGGACTCCAGGTCTTAGTCTCTGTACAGTCCAGATTTCCAATTCCAAGTATTCGGAAATCCTGATTTTCCATCAACCCAACACGCGCTCGATGGCCATACTGTCGTGAATCGTTTCTCCTCATTCAAGTATTTGTTACACATAGAAAACGACAATTAACTGATACAAACCTAAACAAACGGCTTTGATTTGGGCTGGCATGCGCAGCTGCTTGATTTGCATTTGACCAGGGATTGCGTTCTACTTTAAGTGTGCATTCGCTTCTAAAGTATGACAAATCAAATCGCCTATCTCGGTTTGGCCACTGTAGAATACCCAAATTCCTCAATGATATGAATACCTGTCACATCGAGCTGGAAAAGAATTAGAATAATCAACGTTAGAGTTTGATCATCACTTCTACAATTTCTTTCATCGCATGCTTTACCCAAAAAGATAAGCCGTATCCCCAATCAAGTTAAGTTATAACAATGTAAGTGCAGCATAATTACCCCAAACATTTGTGACAGCCTCTCTGCTGTTACTTTAGACTTCTTTATTCGTCTTTCCACCCTTCCCTCTGCTTCGCCGGTGAAAAAATTTAAAAAAAGTATCCTCTTCAGCCATTGCTTTAAGTCAAATAAACTCGACCACGACGCGGTGGGTAACAAACTGTACTAAATCGACAGCAACTGCGTAGAACGTTCTCAAACGTTGAACCAACAGGTCTGGGGGGTCCATGAATGTTACATTTGCATGTAATGGATGCAAACTGTGTACCGTGAACTTTTGTGGTTACTTGCTCTGGCTGTAGCATTTTTTATAACTAGTAATGGCTATGCCAAATTTTCCAGAACACTAAGGCAGTGTCTTGGCTTTAGCTGCATTTCGAAGAACCGATACTATGAAACTGTAAAGGTGGTATATCCTAAAGTCAGGGAGAGTTTGAATGGTACGAGTGATGAAGAGAGAAAGGATGAAAGAAATAAGAAATGGCGAGTTGGGCAGTTGGAAAAGGGCAGTAGTGACATTGGATGGTGCATGGCATACAAGGAGCCATTTCAGCCAAAATGGCTCCTTTATCATTAAGAATTACTTGACAGGTGGTTTGCTGTGGTATGGCCATAAGTGTATGCGGGGTAAAGATGGTGTTTTGGAGGATGAATTGTTTGAGGGGACGGCCAAGTCCATGGAGGGCATACTTGCAGAGGAGTGCTACAAGGAGGCAAGGGATGAGGGCTGTAAAGTTGAGGTTGTTTGGCAGGATGGAGATTCAAGTACTGCCCTGGCAGTAAGCAAGTTCCATAAAGAAGGTAAAATGTACAAGTGTGGTGGGCATGTTGGAAGAGCCCACTACAACAAGCTGAAGGAGGTCTCAAAGAAAAAAGTGTTTTCTGCTGATGTCAAAAGGAAATATAAAGATAATTTCCCCAAGTGGAAAGTGTTGTCTGCAAGTGTGAAAAGCACAAAGCTGGATGTGGGTGTCTCAGGGACACGCATAAATCATTTCTGCTAACTTCAACATTGCAGTACTCCCCAAGAGTATGCAAGGAGATTGAGAGGTCTCGGAGAATATCATTCCAGGGATATCCATGAGTGGGCTTGGGGTGAGTGTGGATTTCACCCAAACATTGTATATTCCTGTAAGAAATGTAAAGAAGATGAACAACTGCAATGTCAGGGGAAACCCTACAAGACAAAGAACCCCCTTATCTGTCACTACCACTGGCTGCAATATCATATTGAGTGTGAGCGCGGTGCAGAAGATGCAGATAGCGTGATCCATCCAACCATGGGGAGAGGCCATTCAAACTTGTGCGAGGCACATTTCCTTGTCCTGCCTGACTACTGTGCTAAGGATCAAAATCTTTGTAGGTAAGCGAAAGAGTCGCAAGCTCATATTCGGATGATTATATGGGTTACTATCACAACCTTCAATTGAAATAATTAGCATGGAAAAATTTTTTTTGCTCTTCATAAGTCTGAGCAGAAATTACCCGGGATGATACCTTCATTCAAGGTCCAATTTGATGTGAATATCTGGAAATTTCTGGGCTTACATGATCAGTTATTAGTTGAAGGTTTTCATACAATAATTCTCTGTGCAACTACTGATACCAATTTATCCCTTCAAGGCAAATTGTAAAGAGAAGTCATAAGTGTTTCAGTCATCAATTGGGTAATTATTCTTATTTCTTAGGTTTACATTACATTACTTCTACCAACTGTGATTTCTACCAAGGAAACATGTCTTGGTGTTATAAAGTCAGGGGACGAAACTACCACTGGGTGATTGACCTTTACGAGATGCTGAACCTGCTTGTCATACCTGCAGTAATTGAGGCCCTTCAGAAGGCGGCGGTGGATAGCATGAAAGAGATTGAGAAGGGAAAGACAGACCACAGGAAGAAGACACGAATCCAGATGAAAGTGGCCCCGGGCTGAGGATCAAGAGGCTACGAAGAAGTGGGTGAAGCAGCAAGCAGTACGCCATACATAGGGAAACGACCAAGAGGATGATGATGCTGAAGAGGATGAGGTGGATCCTGCAGTTATTGTACAGCAAGGGCTGCCATGGAAGAAACAGGGGAAGATGATGGGGCCATACTGGTCATCACTGGGAGAACCTGCCGATGTGACTCCAAAACACACAAAAGAGTATCCCATTCAGACTGTCCCTTGAACCCCAAAAATAAAAATCAAGTAAGGTTTTTATCTAAAGGAGGGACTCCATCATTCTTGTACGTTTCAGTTGGAAAGGGATTTTTTTGCATAAATTTCAATCCTAGTTTTGACCTCAGAGTTTCCTTTGCTGCATCTGACACGGTTGCGATTAAAAATAGACTTTTCTGTTTATTTACTTCGAGCTTTTGTATATAATATGACACAGTATATGACAGACATTGATATATTATGTAAAACAAATTTTCCTTCATGGAAAAATTACATATTTTTTTAGGGTGACATTTTTATTAATATAAATAAAGTAAGTTTGATCATTTCATCTACTACTTAGTATTGTTTCAATAATAGCTTTTCGGTTTTATTCCAGACCTGAATAGAATTTGACATTTTACAATATGTGTCTGGGATCGACACGTTTTATCTATAAATTGATTCGATTTTCACATCTGTATGGTTTGAAATACTGGGTGTTTCTGTGGATACCCAAACATTATTTTGGAGTTTTGTTATGTTTTTTGTTTGATATCTTCTTGATTATTCTATCACATTATTCTTGATATAAAGGATAGTCATAGAAACACCTGACATTTTTGGACCAGAAAATTTCATGCAGTTATTTAGGTTTTGCTAGCTTTCTTTACACTGGGGGCCATTTTGCAGCACCAAGGTCCGCTATGTTCACCTTGTAGACCTGAAAGCATAAAATAAATAAAGATGTTTAATCGACACATTCTCACATTAAAAATGAATTACAATGTGTTTACAAGGTTCGGAACATTACAAAAACCTAATTGGGACTGGGTTTACAAACTAATTAAAAATAGTAAAACCTACAAGAGTTACATAAATTTCAGTCATAGCTACTAAAAAAAAGTTATACTGAGAATTTAATTTTTAAAATTTAAACATTTAACAGTTAATTTTTGAAAACGCTCGGTTTTAACATGACATGATATTGTATGAGTTTCTGTACTTTCAATCATCCTTTTGTTACCGAACTGATCCAACGTATTGAGAGTCTAAACGTTATAATTCAAATTACAGATTATCTCCCCTTTTCATGGGTAGGATCTGGTCGGTCCATTAGTCTGCCTGGGATTATTTCCCTCACAACCCTCTTCAGAGGGAGGGAGGGAACACATAAGTGGGCTTACCCCCAACATGGGCCCCTAATGTCTGTTTGCTTCCAAACTAGAATGGAGAAAGAAAGAAAAACATACCAGTGGTGTTGGAATTGCGATTTCAAATAATGTAATAATGATAGAATGAACACTTGCAATTGCCTAAGGACAACAATGAAATTCCCTAACTAGGAAACTCCACAATTACGACTCAAAGATAGAAAATCCACGATTAATGCACCTAAACAGAAAGAATTACTGCCTTGTATTTGTTCACAAAACGAGTCGTAATTGTAATTGCAAAGAAACGGAAAGCAGGGGGTTGAACAACAATGACTTGTAATCATCTCTGGTCAATAGTGTGAATCATCAAGCATGAATTCTCAACCTTGAAAGTTACAACTTACCCATAACTTTGCCCACAAAAGTCTGTAAATTCGCGAGCGGCAGCCACTGCCTTTTTGTCTGCCTTCAAGGAAAAGTTCTCCAGCAGGGAAATCNNNNTCATAGCTACTAAAAAAAAGTTATACTGAGAATTTAATTTTTAAAATTTAAACATTTAACAGTTAATTTTTGAAAACGCTCGGTTTTAACATGACATGATATTGTATGAGTTTCTGTACTTTCAATCATCCTTTTGTTACCGAACTGATCCAACGTATTGAGAGTCTAAACGTTATAATTCAAATTACAGATTATCTCCCCTTTTCATGGGTAGGATCTGGTCGGTCCATTAGTCTGCCTGGGATTATTTCCCTCACAACCCTCTTCAGAGGGAGGGAGGGAACACATAAGTGGGCTTACCCCCAACATGGGCCCCTAATGTCTGTTTGCTTCCAAACTAGAATGGAGAAAGAAAGAAAAACATACCAGTGGTGTTGGAATTGCGATTTCAAATAATGTAATAATGATAGAATGAACACTTGCAATTGCCTAAGGACAACAATGAAATTCCCTAACTAGGAAACTCCACAATTACGACTCAAAGATAGAAAATCCACGATTAATGCACCTAAACAGAAAGAATTACTGCCTTGTATTTGTTCACAAAACGAGTCGTAATTGTAATTGCAAAGAAACGGAAAGCAGGGGGTTGAACAACAATGACTTGTAATCATCTCTGGTCAATAGTGTGAATCATCAAGCATGAATTCTCAACCTTGAAAGTTACAACTTACCCATAACTTTGCCCACAAAAGTCTGTAAATTCGCGAGCGGCAGCCACTGCCTTTTTGTCTGCCTTCAAGGAAAAGTTCTCCAGCAGGGAAATCAATCCCTCTGGCACGTTGGCACTGAAAAATTCCACAAAATCCAGTACAAGGAAAAGTATTTTTAGGGCAGAAAGCTCAAAAGAGATTAACCTACCCATTTTGTGTAAACTCGGCTTGAAAAGCCTCGAATGTGGCTTCTTTGGATGCTTCTTTGACAGCCGTACAAGAAGAATGTGCTGCCATCTTGATTGAGTTCACATGCTTCCAGAGGAAAACCACTGTCCACAAATTGAGGACTTGTGTTTTTTCTCAGTACCCGACCCAGATCCTTTTTCGGTCAATGGAGTCAACTTCCAGTAAAAAACGCAATGATGAGATGTTTCATGGGAAACGAAACCACATTTTTTGAATATTAGGCACCATAAGCTATAACCTAGCTAAAAAGTATCCAGATCTGAAAATATGAAAGTTAGCCTGGGCAGGCACCTTAAATGTCAGACGATCATAGAGTTTCTCTAAAATGAGAACCTCCTTAAAATAAGTGTGGGCTTAATACGTTTTGGGAGTTCATGGGTGCCGGGGGGGGCGGGGGTGTCGTACTGGGTAAATTTTCATGGGTTTCGCTTGCGAGACATACTGAAACCTTGCATAGAAATTTAAAAACACTTTTTATGAACTATGCTTCCATTCTCATCAACTTCATACTACTTGATCTGTCACCAGTAACTGTCAATTTTTAGAAATACACATGGTTACACTTACTTCTCCGTTTTATTACAAAACACCTTGATTTGTATAATGAAACACTTGAATGATTGGCTTGAAAGTAAAATTTGATCTTGCCATAATCTTTTTGATGGCTGTCCCATTCTTCTTTTCTTTCCTTTGTATACGCATCGTATGGTTCTTCTCCACATATTTTGTCTTTGGCATTGCTGCTATTAGCCTCCCCGCAGACGTCCTTTGGGGTTCGTTTGTCATGCATTCATTTGTCCCCCACGGACGTCTGCTGAACACTGCCGACATTACGTTCACCAATCACAGGCCGTTTACGGATTTTTGTAAAACGTAACCCGAGCCGCTTCTTAACATTCGCACGATCAGTGAGGCTTTTGATCGGGTGTGCGAGGAATTTGTAATTACTACAGAGTTAAACAAGTATCAGAGAGAAGCTATCCTGAAAATTTTATAGCGAAGACCGATAAGTTCACAAATTTGCCGACGGGATTTGGCAAATCCCTTATCTATCAAGCTTTGCTGCTTGTTTGCGACACAGTGCGTGGAACTAGTGGACATTATTGTTGTTGTTGTTTCACCCCTGGTAAATCTTGAAAGATCAAGCTACAAAGCTGGAAAATATTGGTATTCCTGCTGTAACGTTCAGTGATATTAGCAAAGAGAATAGGAGGGTTTTCGAGAGAGGGACTTTCTCTGTTGTTTACGGAAGCCCAGAAGCTTGGTTGAAGATCGATCGGTGGAGGAAATGTTAGTGAGTGACTTGTATACAGTATGTGGTCCTTGGTCCGCGACTTTCCCGAGCATGATTAAATGTTTCGTCGAGAAATAAAATAGAATGAACAATGAAAGGTTTAATGATTTATTGATTATTTAAGCATTCTTTCTTTCTTTGAAGGAGCGAGATTAAAGTTTGTTGATGGGTAGGTTAATTTGTTGTTCTAGCTTGAAGTTTGGACTTCGGCGGCACCGTGGTCATGTTTACTTAGCTTATTTACAAAATATAACCAAATTTCGTGTAGTGGTCCTTGGTCCGCGACCCATGACCTTGTGGGAATCACATTTCACAGAAAAGGAAACGGCCTTTGTTTTCAAAGAATGCTTTGAACATCTTCGCTGTGCACGTTTACAAGTTCTGTATTCTTAATACTTCGAATATATACAGAGTTAATAGTAATTATTGTTTATTGTTTAAACCGCTCCCGCGCTCATGTGGGAGACTGTTGTCTGAAGTCTTTCAAAGAGAAAGCAGATTATTTTATACTTACAATCACTTCCGAAAAAACTATACAGCTGACTACAACTTTATTGCATCATTTCTGTGATTTTTTGAAAACGTTTGAGTCGTCTCAGGTAGAAGATAGCTGTGCAAATAAATAATTCACTTGAAGAATACAAAGACACGTCAACGTCCAGAGCACATTTGATGAGCCTTGCGATTTTTCTAAAAACACGAACTTGGTCCTTTCCTAAATTACAGCGCCCCGCCTGACTTTTCACAGTAGTATGACTTGTCAATTTTGAAAGACACTTTAAGTTTCAATCGAAATACTTTTGAGTCTTAGCACACTTTTCAGAAACTCGTCAGCAATCTCAGAAAATGCTGATAAACAGCGGTTACCTTGTACATGACAGTTAACAAACTAGACAGCATTTTCAGTGTCATGGCATCTAAAAGGCAAAGTATCAAAAA